GATTATGACAGAACATTGAGAGACATTCCTGAAAATAGACCACAAGGAAAGAAAAGTACGATGAGTCACTGGGATGAACAAACAGACATGATAAGGGACACGCCATCCAGACGTCCATATGACGGAACAAAACCAAAAGTCCGATTTGCCGATGAGCGCCATGTTGCAGGGAAACAGTATGACAGCTGGTTATCAGACAACTTGGCTAAAGGGACACACATGCGACAGTCATCCCCTGATCCATATGTCCCTGACACATATCGTCGGGCGGAAAGAGACGATAGAGAGAGAAAGCTTACAGTCAAGCCTGCTACATACGATGGTTCAAGCTCCTGGCTGGACTACAAGTGTCACTTTGACGCTTGTGCCAATGTGAATGGTTGGAATGAAGAAAAGAAAGGGTTGTTTCTAGCCCTATCACTACGTGGTCAAGCTCAGGCTGTCCTTGGCGATTTACCAACTGACAGAGGCCAACATTATGAGACACTTGTAAGATCTCTGCGAGAAAGGTTTTCTCCTCCAAACCAAACGGACCTTTACCGGGTACAACTTAAAGAGAGGAGACAAAAATCAACAGAGACACTCTCTGAATTAGGCCAGAGCATCAGACGATTGACAAATTTGGCGTATCCAACTGCGCCAGGTGAAGTTCGTGAGACACTGGCAAAGGATCAATTCATCGATGCGTTGATTGATTCTGATATCCGCATAAGAATCAAGCAGTCACGCCCTGCCAATTTGAATGAAGCCATAAGCCTTGCTGTGGAACTGGAGGCATACAACAGAGTAGAAAAGAGGGACAGAGAACTCAAAGGTCATTTGAGAACAGCCTTTGTTGAAGAACAACCTGGCACTGACAAATGCAATAGTGGCCAACTTGCTAATTGGATGAAATCTGTTGAAGAGAACATGAAAAGCATAACTGAAGAGCTCAGGGAGCTTAAGGTCTCTAACCAGAGAGCACCTTACGACAACAGGTACAAAGACACAGGGGCAAGTGGCAGAAAGCAGGAGATAAGATGCTATGAATGCAAAAAGCCAGGACACATCCGGCGTAACTGCCTTCAGTTGAAGAGAAGGCAAAAGCAGTCAGATGACAGGTCTGGTAAAGAATCTATGAAACAGGACAAAGGAGATGGGAAAAGAGCATCGGGACCACAGGTGTCCGTAGGCCTCGGTTCATCTATAGAGGAGTGTGGGTTGTACATCGATGTAAATGTTCAAGGGATAAAAGCTAAGTTTCTAGTAGACACTGGTGCTACTGTTACCTTTGTGTCTGAGACACTGTACAGAAAGTTACCTGCATCAGTGAGACCGAAGCTTCATGAGGTACAGCAGACCATCATGTCGGCCAATGGCACTGCTCTGTCTGTTCATGGGAAGTCGGAATTCAATATTGGCATTGACCAGTTGACATACCACAATGAGGCAGTAGTTGCTAACTTAAAGGCAGATGGCATATTGGGCCTAGACTTTATGAAAACAAATCATTGCAAAGTCGATATTAGCAACGAAGTTCTGAATGTCAATGGTCGTGATAAGAGAATGACAATTGAAGGTTCACTTGGATGTTTTAGAATTACAGCAGCTAAGACAGTTAGCATTCCGCCAAGGAGTGAGATAATTGTTGCCGGTAAAGTGTGCGTTCCAGAGGGTTTAAGTCTGCCATACTGTGAGAGTATCATTGAACCAGTTGACAATTACAACAATCAGCAGAGCACACTTACTGCGAGAACAGTGGTAAATCCCCAAGAAACTGTGCCAGTTAGACTAATGAATGTTGAACAAGAGTCAAAGGTAGTGTATTCTGGGACCGTAATTGGACAACTTGCTGAGATAGACCCAGTGAAAGACATAGTGGTTAATACGACATCAACAGCTACCAGAGTGCTGCGCAAGGATTTAGCGGATCTACTTCATAAGAGTAAGGACAACATGACTCCTACACAGTTCAAGCGGGCAGAAGGCTTTCTGTTAAAATATACCAGCTTGTTTGCAGAAAATAGCTTGGACTTTGGCAGGACTGGAATAGTCAAGCATCATATCGACACAGGTGACAGCAGACCTATTAAACAAAGACCACGAAGGGTGCCAGCTGATCTGACAGATGAAGTCAACAAAAACATGGACGACATGCTTGAAAAAGGTGTCATACAGCCTTCCAACAGTCCATGGTCCTCACCAATAGTGTTGGTCAGGAAGAAAGATGGGACATATAGGTTCTGTGTTGACTATCGTCGCCTTAACAGTTGCACTATACAAGATGCATACCCACTCCCGAGGATTGACGAGTCACTTGACCAGTTGTCTGGGTCTACCTGGTTTTCGACACTCGACCTCTGCTCAGGCTACTGGCAAGTTGAAATGGCATCTGCAGACAAACCAAAGACCGCCTTTACCTCAAGACGAGGCTTGTTCGAATTCAACGTTATGCCGTTTGGCTTGAGTTGTGCCCCGGCAACTTTCGAACGCCTCATGGAGAGTGTCCTTGCCGGATTACAATGGGACATTTGTATGATATACCTAGACGACATAATTGTCACTGGCAAAACATTCGAACAAATGCTTGACAATTTGGAAAAAGTCTTTGAAAGACTGAGAACTGCAAACCTAAAGCTTAAGGCCAAGAAATGCTGTCTCTTTGCACGAAGAGTGACATATCTCGGACATGTTGTTTCGGAGCAAGGGGTATCCACAGACCCGAACAAGATAGCAGTTGTCAAAGAATGGCCAATTCCTGCAAATGTCACAGAGCTTAGGTCATTTTTAGGTTTGTGTGGATACTATCGGAGATTTATCCAAAACTTCTCTGCCATTGCCAAGTGTCTGCATGCTCTAACAGAAAAGGGGAAACCATTTGCATGGACATCGGAGTGCCAAGAGGCATTTGATTGCCTGAAAAACCATTTGGTTCAGTCCCCAGTCCTAGCCCATCCGGATTTTACTGTTCCATTTATATTAGACACAGATGCTAGTGACCAAGCGATTGGGGCAGTGCTCTCACAGAATGTAGATGGCAATGAGCATGTCATAGCCTATGCCAGTAGGACATTAACGAAATGTGAACGCAGATACTGTGTTACGAGAAAAGAACTTTTAGCTGTGGTTCATTTCATTAAGCATTTTAAACACTACCTTTATGGCAAAGAGTTCTTGATTCGCAGTGATCATGGTTCATTAAGGTGGCTGTTCAAGTTCAAAAACCCTGAGGGTCAGCTGGCCAGATGGTTAGAGACCCTGAGCACCTACAAGTTTCAGATCCAACATCGACCTGGCATACAGCATAGAAATGCTGATGCCTTGAGCAGAGTGCCTTGTCGACAATGTGGTTATGACCCTGATTGGGAGAAATCAGCACCAGATGATAAGAGTGTCCAAGATGCAAAAGCAATGACACATGTCAATGCAGCTCTTCCAGTAAACCCAGGCACAGAGCCTTGTCACAAGATGCAAGAACTGCAAGACAAAGACAGGGACCTGAAACTAGTGAAAGGCTGGCTGCAAACAAAGAGTCGACCTTTGTACAATGAAATAAGTGGACTTGGGTATGTCATAAGATCCCTTTGGTCACAATGGGAAAGCCTTTCCATTGAGAATGACATCTTATACAGGAGGTACCAAGAGGACAGTGGCAAGTCATCTTGCCTACAGACAATAGTACCCAGCAGTGAGCGTAGGACAGTATTACAATACTGTCATGATATTGAAACAGCTGCTCATTTAGGTGTGACTAAGACACTGGCACGAATCCGTCAAAAGTACTATTGGCCAGGTCTTCAGGCAGACATAAGAGCCTACATTGCAGGCTGCGAGAAATGCTCTAAGAGAAAGAGTCCTCAGAAGAAAAAGAGAGCACCCATGGCAATTGTCGAGAGTGGAATGCCAATGGACAGAATCGCAACCGATATCCTCGGTGAACTGCCCATGACTGACAATGGCAACAAGTACATCCTTGTTATATCCGACTATTTCACCAAATGGACGGAAAGCTTCCCAATGCCAAACATGGAGGCTGCAACAGTTGCCAAGATCTTAGTCGAGGAGGTAGTATCGCGATTTGGTGTTCCTTCCAGTATACATTCAGACCAAGGACGCCAGTACGAGAGTGAGCTCTTTTCAGAGGTATGCCATGTCCTGCACATAAAGAAGACTCGCACCACGCCGTACCATCCCCAGAGCGATGGGATGGTCGAGCGCTTCAATAAGACCCTTGTCACTATGCTAAGCGCCTTTGTCAACGGGCACCACTCAGACTGGGATAGATTTTTGCCTTACGTCATGATGGCGTATCGAGCATCTGTGCACGAAACGACTGGGTTCACTCCCAACTTCATGATGCTTGGTCGGGAGGTATCAACCCCACTTGACATTATGTACGATATGCCCAATGCGGTCAAATACATCCCTAGTAATCAGTGGGCTTGGCATCTCAAGGAGACAATGGAAGATGCCCATAGACATGTTAGGGAAAATATAAAAACGGCCATGATCAGGCAAAAGCGATATCATGACCAGAAGTTATCCTGGCAGCAGTTTAAGAAGGGTGACGAAGTATATGTCTTTTTCCCTGTACGGAAAGCGGGATTGTCGCCGAAGTTTACAAGCTACTGGCGTGGTCCGTACGAGGTCATGGACAAAATGACCGACATTACTTACAAGGTAAACTGTGGACCACGAGGAAAGCCACAAATTGTGCATGTGGACAGATTGCGTCTCAAACGTAGCCAGACGTTAAGAGATGAGGTTGTAGAGGACAATAGTTCTCAGGAAAACACTGGTCAAGACACAGAGAAAAGTGTCACTGACAATGAAAGTAATAACACAGACTCACCTCCAACTGATGACAATTTTGATATTAATGGGGTTGGGGCAAGAATCAGGAGACCGCCTACCTGGTTGCAAGATTATGTGTTAGATTAAGTGTATATTATCAAACAAGATATGTTTGCATGTTGTAACTCAAGTTTATATCTTTGGTTTTGTTTTGTCATTGTAGGCAAATGGCAAAGACAAAGATAACTAGTGGGGAACAAACCAAAAAGTGTCCATTTTGTCCTTTCAAGACAACATCCCATACTGCGTGGAAAGACCACATGGCAGAGTGTTATGAAACAAGACATTTTTGCAAGAAATGCAACTATTCTACTCTCAAGAAGGCTAACTATCTGAGACACATCAAGAGAAACCATCGTGGACAAGCTGAGGCAACTCACAGTAGGGACGAGTCGGGATGTAAAGACGACTCGGAGGAGCATTCATCGAAGGAAGTGCCTGAGCAACTCTCCTCGGATGACGAAGGTTCACTGGGACAGGATCCGGACATAACTTTAGGAGAGGAGGTACCAGATGAGAGTATGGAAGGTCCGTCTAGCAGTACCCAAACTCAGATTGACCTACCAGAGTGTTCAAATGTAGCAGACCCTACAATCCGAAAGAGAACTCAGCCACTTCCAGTGTACACTCCTAGCAAGAGTAAAGCGCCACGGCTTGAGGAACTCTCTAAAGATGTGCCACGGCGTGAGGAACTTCCTAATGTTGTACCACGGCGTGAGGAACTTTCTAATGTTGTGCCAAGACAGGTGGTGGATGCTGCTGTTCAGACTGAACCAGTGCTTTACACCAAATCCATTAAGACCACAACGATTATGAAGGAAAATGGTCGTAAAATAATCACGGTCAAGAGAGAGAGGATGTTATAAACTGTAACATGACAATTTGTCTGTGGAACAAGTTTGAGTGCAAAGTTATTGCCATTTGTTAGCATTTTGTCCTATGTTCTTTTATATTTTGTCTTGTTGTAAAGGTCATGCGGGACGCATGTACTTAAGGGGAGGGAAGTGAAATGGTTGGAGGAGTTACCTCCCGGTAGTTGTTTGTATAATAGTAGATAATTAATGTAAATATTGTAATTAATTGGTCAATTGACATAAAAGATATACAAGAAGTATTATTAATGAATGATGTTGTGTTAGAAAATAATAGTTGCATTGCCAAAAGAAAGGCAGTTTGTTGTATTTTGCTAAAATAATATCTGAAAACTTATGATTATTGATCAAGTTGTAATACAAAGGGTTGTACAACCAACTGTCCGTTGTCTACTGTGAAGTACGGAATTTGATACATGCGATTTGGAGAATATACTGCTTAGCGTGTGCAATTTAACGAATAATAATTGCTGCAAAGTCGCTGAAGTCACTGACTTGATTATTGCTGAGAGTAACATAGGATACTCTGTTACCAGTAGAGCAGTGTATTGTGTAAGTGTGTTAAAGCCACTTGGCTTGATCATAGACAACTTGGTTAGCAATTGACACCAGGCAGGTGTCATCAGATAAGGGCTATAGTCAGGAAACACCAGGCAGGTGTCTGTAGACTTGTTTAGTTAGTTGTTCATTCAGGCAACTGTCACAAGGCACCAGGCAGGTGCCAGTATTATTGTACATATATAAACATAAAGGCAGTTAGGTCACTTGATTTAAAGACACTAGGCAAGTGTCACATTATCTGTATATTTTGCATTAATCATACCCCCAGTAAAACTCGGTAATCCGAGCACGGACCTACTGACCGCTCAGGTCTGACACGTTACAGAATATCAAAATTTATTAGATTACTGATTACTTATCAGCATCGCAAATACAATTCACAGCAAGTAAAGCATTTTTAACTAGCGACTCCTGCAGAGTCCTGTTGAATTTCTCAACTAAACCATTAGTCTGGGGATGGTAAGCCGACGACAATCTTTGTGATCCAGAGTACTGGTTGATTAGTTTTTGTAATGTTAGATTAACAAATTCTCTCCCCTGGTCACTAGAGTAGACTGTGGGAAACCCCATTCTTTTGCAAATCTTTAAGAGTTCAAATGCTATAGTTTCTGCTCGTTTATTTGAAATTGCGGCTGCTTCGGGCCATTTTGTAAAATAGTCCATTAATGTTAGGATGTAACAATTTCCGGATGACGACTTTGGCATGGTTATGAGGTCCATTCCTACGTGATACCAAGGTTTAACAATCGAAATGGGGAAAAGTTCTGCATCCGACTTTTTAAAAGCTCCTCCCTCTTGACATTTCAAGCATGAATTGACATATTCTTCAACGTCTCCTGACAAATTTTTCCAAAAGTACATCTCTGATATGGCCCACAGTGTTTTTTCCCGGCCAAAATGGCCGTTTTTGTCATGCTTGTCTTCCAAGATCCTTTTTCTCTCTGACAAATTAATGACCACTTGTCTTAACTCCCCCTTCTGGTTTTTCCAGTACAATATTTCATTTTTTATTTCGTATGCTTTACTCCTCGATCTGATTTTTCGTTTTGTGTCCTTACATACATTTGGAGGGTATACTTTACATTTTAGGTAATTGAAGACATTTGTCATGTCTTCGTCCATTTCTACTCCGTTGAGGGGGCATCCGAAAAACGTCCGAGGTTTCCTAGTCCATATAAACCATGTAGGAGTCGAAACTTTGACACACAGATAAAATATTCAGTTGGAATATATATTTGATCAATTGTGTAGTCTAAAAGTTTTTCTTCTACCTCACTGAACAAGTCAAGCAAAAAATCTGGGGCATCAACACATTCTACTGACCCTACCAATAACGTCTGTACAACATCGTGGAGTATAACACTAAAATGAATGTTAGTTTTCAGAATATCTTCAATTTCATACACACACTCCTTTATCTGTAACTTATACTGATCAGTTCCCGTAATGCGCAAAATATTATTCAATACTTGTATCAAGGCGTTACTTTTTGGGAGCAAACCTGTAATTTCTCGCTTTTGAATTATGTTGAAAAGCATGGTTTTATCAGAACTGGAAGTTTTCGTTTAAAAAGAAAACCAAAACCAAAATGCATAACAAAACGAATTCCGGAAAAACGCAATCCGGAATTATAAGGGGGGAAAGTCTATACTGGGGCGGTTTTTCCCCCCAAGGGGGAAAGTCTATACTGATTTTGTTCAAAGGGGGAAATTCTATACTGGGGCGCTTTTTCCGCCCAGGGGGGAAAGTCTAACCCGGGCCCGTTTTTCCGGGGGGAAAGTCTATGCGGGGGGAAAGTCTATGCTACAACACCGGTACAATAAATTTCTTATTGTTTTGCACACCGTCCAATAAGTTACATGTAGGTGTCCATTAAGTTTCAACTTAATGGACAGTCACAGGTAAACTGCAAAAAAAAAAAAAAAAAGAAGTACCGTCAATCTGGAAATTTTTACTGTAGATAAATTTTTAGCAAATTTGTGCGTGCAATGCATTCGCAAAAATATTTTTCTTAAAAATAAATCAACATGTAAAGAAATTTTTTTTTTCTGAAAGTTGGTGTCTATTTTTAACTCAGTGAATTGGCGTCGGTAAGCACTGGTCATTTTTAAAAAGAAACCTGTTTATACTACTGTAACTACAAGCTGTTTATACTACTGTAACTACAAGCTAATTACGGTAAAGAAAGAAGGCTTGTAAACAAATTTAATTTTAATCCTGGAAAATTAACACACAGAAAATCACAAGAGAATGTTATTTACGAGTGTTTGGAGTTAAACTTCACATTAATTGTAACACTCGCGTCCTTCTGAACATTGACAGAAATTGTTGGACACGGACACTGCCATTACACTTTTGAAGAATCCACATCCTTGGCCTTCTTGGTAGGTGGGCTCGATGCTCCTATTTTTCTCCCTTGTACGATATCACTTACACGTCTTTGTGACCCTCAGAGGTCCGCTTGAAATTTCGTACTGAAAGTGATCTGTGGCCCGTTTTCTCAGTTGTCAGCTGTTTGTCTACACCTGCTAAATAAAGACGTGTAGCTGCTGACGCGCGCAGAGAATGGTTGGAGAAAAAAACCTTCCAATCCTGCAATCTTATATAACTTGGCAACAGTTTGTTAAAATGGGTGGATACCGACAAGCGCGTCGTCATACCATTTGTCTGTTGTGAAAATTTTAGACGGACGCAAATAAAAGGCGGATGGTTTCCCATCCTTGGCTCTGTAAACAAAAAAAACCTTGAATTCATTATAATGTGTACAGTGCGGATACAAATTGAAGTTTATGATTTTTGCTTCATTCCTAAATATATAGAATGATGTAGTAAAAAACGTTGTAATTTACCTGAGGTTAATAAACTTTTCGTACAGGGATACAATGCATCTTTCTGGACATTCTGGATTTTCATAAGCTTTCACTACTTTTGGGGCCGATTTGCGACTGTTTAGCCCTCCAGTCGAACACTTGGATATGTCCTCTCTAAACCAAGTTTAGAGAGTTCCTTCATTTTCGCATCAAGAATTGCACGAAGATCTGAAAATTCACTGTCATCAAAGAAAGAAATGAATTTTCCATTAGAATTTAGATGGTGTTGTATTGCCACAATTATTTCATAGAGGGAATTTGGTTTGTAATCAGTGCCTTTTAATGTTTTCAGCTCTATGACAAATGAAGAAAGCTAGTTATTTAGTTCTTTATTTGTCATTTGTAACAGCGGTTTCTCCATAGATCTTTCCTTCTGCCAAGACTCGAATAGACACACCGCCCATTTGGCTTTATTTCTTGTGTTCACAGGTATTGCGCTTTCCATTAGATTTTTCAGCTGTGAATCTGAAAGTGGGGCCAAAAATCTTGCTGTTTTCTGTTCCTTTAACTCCGCTTCTCTAATTTCGGCTTTCTGTGAGGCCTCTACGAAAATTGCGTCCGAGTCGTCAAAATCCGATACGTCCGAATGATGGGACACCTTAACAGTTTTAAAATTTAAATCAAAATTGCCATCTTTATCATTGTTTTCCTTCTCACCGTTCAATATTTCTTCCAAAGTATTGTCAGAATCACGATTTGGTTCACGAAACGTATTCTGTGTAACAAATTCATAATCCATCATTACTAATTGACAGGGCGAAAATGAATGAAATTTTTGACAATTGAAGAATTTCAGAATTAAGTTCACTATCTGCGCATGGGCAAAGGGGCTTTGAAAACTTTACTGTATACAAAAAAATCTGTCACTTATCTTAAAAATACTTATGAAATACTTATTTGCTCCACTTTGCATTCAAGGAAGTGTTAGTGACAGAGTTGTCATTTATATTTGATTATTTTTTAGAATGTAGAATGGAATCGAGAACGGGTGACACGAATTATTAATATGTCTCTAGAAATGAAAAAAAAAATAATAAGGTCTAGTATATTAAATAAAATTAAAAAATAACAAAACACTTAAAATTGGAATTCCCATGGCTACAAATTGCGCTCTGTTATTAGCAGACCTATTTTTATATTCATATTAAGCAGAATTTGTGCAAAATCTACTGCGTGAAAAGAAAAAACACTTCCTGTGGCCTTCAACTCGACATTTAGATATATCGACGACGTATTGTCAATTAACAATGGTAATTTCCATTCCACCGTCGATACCATATATCCTGGTGATCGAGCTTGAGATAAAAAATACCACAGAGTCTGACACATCTGTTTCATACTTGGATATTTTACTTGAAAAAAGACGTTAATAGTAATCTAACAACCAAGCTATATGATAAACGTGATGACTTTAACTTTTCTATCGTCAACTTCCCTTACTTATACAGCAATATACCTTCATGACCTGCATACGGAGTGCATAAATCTCAATTGATTCGATACACAAGAGCATGCTCTACGTAAGAACAATTTTTATAACGAGGTAAATTATTGACAAGCAAG